GTTAAGAAATGTAGCGATCATATTCATGAAATCCAATTGGATCATTCAGTTATAGTTGATATTGGGAAACAGTCTTGTTCTTGTTGATTGTTGGAAATTGATTTTTTTCCTTGCAAATATGGTTTTTATGCTATAAAGAGGAGTGAGAAGGATCTGAATTGTTTTCTTGATGATTACTACCATGTTCGTAGTTATTGTGATTCTTATTCGCATTCTATTTATCCAGTTCCTAGTATATGGAAGCCAAATGTAGTTCTTGATGATGACGTTGTTTTACCTCCTCTTTGTAAGAAACCAGTTGGACGTCCAAGAACAGAGAGAATACCTTCGAAGGGCGGATCAAGAGAATTAGGTGCAGTAGGTGTGGAAAGATGGGAACTCATAATCGAAAGACATGTAAAGAAGCTTGCTTTAGTTGTATTGATTTTAATTGAATTACTTTTGTTGAGAGTTGAGAGATATTACTTGCATTGAATGTTTGAGTATTTTTTGAAAGATACATCATTTCGGTAGTTGCATTGGATGATTGAGGAATTTTTTGAACGGAAATTATATTTTTTGTTGATATTTTTACAAGATTAAGTTTCACAGATTTATATGCTTTGATTTTGGTTAAATGTAGTTGATGTTTTATACAGTGGTAAATTTATCCCTAGTTGGTTTGAATGAGTTGGTAGATTATATTTTTTTAAGAGTGATAAATTTACCATTGTCTGAAGGAAACAATCGAGCATTAATGGGGTTGCTGAATTTTGTTATTTTTAAGAATGATAAATTTATAACTGACTGTATGGAAAGAGTTGATAATTTATTACATTTATGTCAGTGGTTGATAAATCTATCACTGTCATATCCAACCAAATGTTCTTTTTTACAGTGATAAATTTATCAATGGCTTAAACTCAAGAAAAATCAATTGTAGGTAGTTTGGGACTAAGTTTCCATTGATTCTATATGTTGTATGTTTTTATTGAATTGTTGTAGTAATACAGTGATAAAGTTATCTATGGTTGGTGCTATATGTTATATACTTTGCGTTTTGCTTTTGTTTTGTAATCTTTTTTATTTGTTACAAATAATGTGTATATATTTTGTTTGTAGGTTTATATCCATTATTTTCTGCCATTGTTGATAGTGAACGTTATGACAATTGGCATTGGTTCTTGTCAAAGTTATTTGTTATTTTGACTCCGGGAGGGATATTACGTTTGTTACTGATCAACATGGAGGTTTGCTGAAAGCTTTAGCTAAGGTCTTTTCGTTTTCTTTATCTCCACTCCATATACCCAGAATGGCATGTTCTTACATTCATTCCCAAACTTGAAAATATTTACAAATTGCAACAGTATTTTAATTCTCAATTTGGACAATGTAATAGTGTTTGTGTTTTAATTTTCAATTTAGATAAATTGTTTATTATTTTTTATATTGTTTTGTTTACTTGAATTAGGAAAAAAGAATGAGAGAGAGAGAGAGAGTTGCTGATTTTTGTTAGTTTGAATAGTGATAAATTTATCAGTGTAAAAAAAAATGTCGTGTTAGTAAATGAAGGGATCCAAACTTGTTATTAAACATAAAGTAAGACTGATATCAAAGCCAGATCTGATAAAAATATAGCTAAAAAAGACTGAGGCCCCGTTTGGGGACTTACTTTTTTAGCCAATTAGCCAAAAAGTTACTAAATTAGCTAAAAAGCCAACAACTCATACCAAAAAGTCAAAAATTCTCTTTTCTCTCTGCTTTCCAAAAAGGCATCCCAAACATACAAGTTTTTTTTACCTACCTTTTTAGCCAAATAGCCAAAAAATTACTAAATTAGCCTGTTCCCAAACGAGGCCTGAATTTTCATTTAGTGTATTGTCTGTAATTTTAACATTGTAATAACCAAGTATTATAATATTCATTGAAGTAAAGTATGAACCAAAATGATCAAAATATAGATAACACTGTAACAACCAAACAAGTCAAATGTATGAAGTATTCACATTCTAACAACTAAATGAATCAATGTTTCCTTTTTATTACACTGTAACAAACAAACAAGCAAAATGTTTTCTTTTCTTCCAGATCTGTTGATTAGTGTAACAAACAAACAAGCAAAATGTTTTCTTTTCTTCCATATCTATTGATTATTGCGGAGGCAAGTCATCAATGTTTTCATCAACTATTTATTGTTAAGCAGTTTGTTGGTCAGTCAAGAAGATAGGTAATATATCGGCTCTCAATTGATTGCATTCTTCTTTGGAAAAAGTAGATATTATGTTGTTGCTGGAAACATATTGCCTCATGATATAGCAAACAATGATTCCATAATCAAGTCTGCAAAAACATTTTGAAAATAAAATATTATAATTTGGTTTCGTTCCATTTTTTTTTTATAGGAGTGTTTTGTTATTGATCAACTTACGAAGTGTCTTCTTATTCTGGGTTGTTGATAACTCTCTCTGAAATAGGCAAATTAAGCAAATCTATCATTGTTATAATAATTTTTATCACTAAATTAGGCAAAGTAAGGAAATTCGTCATTGTATAGCAAATGTTATCACTCAATTAGGAAAATTAGGCAAATCTATCATTCTTATTACAAATTTTATCACTGAATTAGGCAAAGTAAGCAAATCTATCATTGTATAGCAAATTTTATCACTGAATTAGCAAAAATAAACAAATCCATCATTGTATGGCAAATGAACATGAAGATATGATTATTATGAAGTTGAATATCACTAATAAATTAATACTGTATGATACACATTGAAAATAATTTCAAGTTGAATTTTATCACTTAATTATAGTTATGAAAGAAGAAAGGAATCAAATACATCATTATAACAAATTTTATCACTCAATTAAGAAAATTAAGCAAATCTATCATTCTTATAGCAAATTTTCTCACTGAATTAGGCAAAATAAGCAAATCTGTTATTGTATAGCAAATGAACATGAAGATGTGATTATTATGAAGTTTAATATCACTTAATTATAGTTATAAAAGAAGAACGGAAGATGAATATGACTCATGTTTGATTCGCAAGTTTGTTGAAGAAGAAGGGAAGCAAATACATCATTATAACAACTTTTATCACTCAATTAGAAAAATTAAGCAAATCTATCATTCTTATAGCAAATTTTCTCACTGATTTGGGCAAAGTAAGCAAATCTGGCATTGTATAGCAAATTTTATCACTGGATTAGCAAAAGTAAGCAAATCTATCATTGTATAGGAAATGAACATGAAGATGTGATTGTTATGAAGTTGAATATCGCTCGTAAATTAATACTGTATGGTACAAATTGAAAATAACTTCAAGTCGAATTGTATCACTCAATTATAGTTATGAGAGAAGAAGGGAAGCAAATCTATCATTACAACAAATTTTATCACTCAATTAGGAAAATTAAGCAAATCTATTATTCTTATAGCAAATTTTATCACTGAATTCGGCAAAGTAAGCAAATCTGTCATTGTATATCAAATTTTATCACTGAATTAGCAAAAGTAAGCAAATCCATCATTGTATAACAAATGAACATGAAGATGTGATTATTATGAAGTTGAATATCACTTATAAATTAACGCTGTATAATACACATTGAAAATAGCTTCAAGTCAAATTTTATTACTCAATTATAGTTATGAAAGAAGAAGTGAAGCACATCTATAGTTATGAAATAAGAAGAGAAGCAAATCCATCATTATAACAAATTTTATCACTCAGTTAGAAAAATTAAGCAAACCTATCATTCTTATAGTAAATTTTCTCACTGAATTTGGCAAAGTAAGCAAATCTGTTACTGTATATCAAATTTTATCATTGAATTAGCAAAAGTAAGCAAATCCATCATTGTATAGCAAATGAACATAAAGATGTGATTATTATGAAGTTGAATATCAATCATAAATTAATACTGTATGATATACATTGAAAATAGTTTCAAGTCGAATTTTATAACTCAATTATAGTTATGAAAGAAGAAGGGAATCAAATCCATCATTATAATAAATTTTATCACTCAATTAAGAAAATTAAGCAAATCTATCATTCTTATAGCAATTTTTTTCACTGAATTTGACAAAATAAGCAAATCTATTATTGTATAGCAAATGAACATGAAGATGTGATTATTATGAAGTTAAATATCACTTAATTATAATTATAAAAGAAGAACGAAAGATGAATACGACTCACGTTTGATTCGCATGTTTGTTGAAGACGAACTAAACAGGGAATATAGATCGAAACAGTGGAAGATTTGCCGGGGATCTGTTCAGAATCAGAATATAGATCGAAACAGAGGTGATTTCTTTGGAAATGATGGGAGATTCAGGGAAAATCTCTTTATTTGTTTTGATTTCCAAATCGCAAATCGCCTCAGAATAGTTTTTAAATCGCCTCAGAATAGTTTCCAAATCAAAATAATTGAGAAGGAGCGTGTGTGTCATGCGCACAGGGAAAAGCTCATGATATCTTCTTTACTTCACACATGCGGTGTGATATTGAGAGGTAAAATTAAAAACTGAAATAAAACAAGACTTAGTAAGTATTAATTTATTTCAATGGACCGACTACTAAATCCCCCTAAAAAAAAAAAAAAAAAGTTTAAACACAAGTCCAGGCCCAGCCCGGTCCGTAATCCTATAGCAAAATGGCTGGTAGCTCGAAAGTGAAGGGTCGAATGGGTCGAAAATATTCTCTTACCAATAAGAGAATATAAAAAAAATCTAAAACAACATCGTTTTAAGATTTTGAGCCATTGGATCCTCTCATATTTCCAGCTACCAACCGAAGTTGACTCCTATATTACCGACGCCGAAACCAACTTTATTGGTCTGAGTCCATTTGGACAAACCAACAACTCCTATTGGTCGACCCACGTCAACGAATCCAGCAGCATTAATGAACCGGTCTCAAAACCTCTTCCTACTCGCGCAAATAGAACAAACAACACTCGCCCTATTAATCCACCACGTGTCCAGGACTCGTCACATCGTTCATCATCGTCGTCGACCAAAACCGTCTCGAACCCGAAAGCGCAGAAAAGATCGAGTTTGTGTGTGGAATTGAAATTCGAAGTCTTCAACTGCTCAAACCAGCTGCGACTAGCCCACAATAATATATCAGAGCTTTCTTGTCTAAAATCGTATCCAGATTCGTGTTATAAATGGCTTTCAAGGGTTTTTTCTGATAGATAGATAGATACATACATACATACATAAAGATATATGGTAATGGTGGAGGTGGGGGTGGAGGTTAGCGAGAAGAATCGGAGGAGTATGAAACGGTGGGGGTGGTTCGTTGGGGCGGTGATCGTAGTATTAGTTGCCATTGCAGCCGCCTCTTTACATTCCCAGAAGATCTCTTTCTTCATCAACAATCAAAAGTCTTGCCGCTGTTCTGAGGTTCTCTCTCTCTACAATTGAAGAATCATTTATTGTCTTTTTTAATAGTTCTTTGTTTTTGTATGTTGATCGGAGCTAATTTTGTTGTTTAGAATTGGATACTCCTTTTAATCGTCAGTTCAATTTGGTTTTAACTTTGACAAAAATGGATCATTTTTACTTGGATTGTTTCAATTTCCATGGAACTCTCTTGCTATCTATAATTGGTGAATTGGAATAGGGTTTTCAGTATTTGATTGAATTTGTACAGGATCAAAGTTGAAATCTTTTTTCTTTTTTTTTTTAGTTTTGGCAAAGAGCCAAAGAATGAATGACTCTGTAAGAAATACAGGAATTTGAAAGTGTTACATGAATGATTGGTTTTGACTTCTGTTTTTGGTGCAGGATTCACGGAAATATACAGGCATAGTGGAGGACTGCTGTTGTGACTACGAGACAGTTGACAGTCTTAATGGGGAAGTTTTACATCCTTTGCTCCAAGAGCTCGTCACTACTCCATTTTTCCGATATTTCAAGGTCTGGTATGAATTGCTCTGGCTCAAAGTGGATGGATTTTATTTAATGAAATCCGAGTTTCTTTAATTTTTGTTGCTATCTATTTTATTTTTATTTTTATTTTTTTCTTCTTCTTTCTAGTCATGAATTTTACATTTTGTTGAAAGTGTTCAATAGTTGCATATTTGATGTTGTTTTCTTGGGAAGGAGGAAAATTATATTAATTGGGAGCTGAAATAGAGCAAGATAAATGAACCCATTTGGTTTTCTACTTTTCTTCATAATTTTGCCAATTCCCCTGGGAATTCTCCAAGTTTTGACAAGATTCAAATCTATAACTTGTTTATCCATTTGCACCATCCATTCCATTAGCCTTTACTATTATGTGTTACCAAGTTAGAGCCAGAACTTCTCTGCCTAATGTAGTTATGGCTTGTACCAGCACTTTATTTGTTAAAGGTATGTTGAAGTAAATCTGTTAGAGCCAAATATTCATCAAGTAGCTACCACAGCTGGGTTTTCTGCTGATCTTTAATGGCATTGCCTCTGGATCTATTATTGTCATCTTGGAGGAATACCTTGCTTATTGATGGGATTATGGGGTGTACATTGAATTGATGGATTCTACTTCCTTGTCAAGTTGTCGTGACTTCTTGATTCTAGAGAAACTATGTTTGCTCTTCCTAAGCAGTGAAAGCTTCTGAAAAAGTTCTCGACAACTTTGTTGGTACAATATGCTTTTAAGCTCAAAAAAGTTCATGCTATAGCAAGATTTTGTTTTGGGGATTTTATCTTTTATATAGTCAAAGAGGAAAATAGATCATCTGTCTACAATTATCATTAACTACGATTGAAATGCAGGCTGGAAACAAAATTAATGTAGTAGTTGTCATGTTGAAGAAAGGAATTTTCTTGATACCACATGTTGCCTTCTCTTTGAAAGGATGTCTGATCACATTTTCTGGCAGTGGGATAGTGTCTTGTCCTTAATACAAAATTCAAACTTAAAGCTGGAGTATTTCTTGAAACATTATTTTTTTAGAATCTTGGATCACTTGTATGTGATTCCTCAAAGCTGATGTACTTATTCCCTTTCTCAGGTAAAGCTGTGGTGTGATTGCCCTTTCTGGCCTGACGATGGTATGTGCCGCTTACGTGATTGCAGTGTTTGTGAATGTCCAGAAAATGAATTCCCAGAAACTTTTAAGAAACCGCTTCCATCTGATGATTTGGTATGTCAAGAGGGGAAGCCACAGGCTACTGTTGACCGCACAGTAGACAGTAAAGCTTTCCGAGGCTGGATGGTAATAGATAACCCGTGGACCAATGATGATGAGACAGACAATAGTAATTGCCTCTATCTTTAATGATACTGAATATTATCAATAATTTATCTAGTTTATTGCTAGACATTTCCGATATATGCAGTTGTTTTGAGATCTTAAGAAGACAAGGCGAAACTAAGGATCAGACTACCACATATTATACAACATGAAACTATTGGAGAACATGCTGTTACATGATCATGAAGACATTAAGCATCCTAAAGTTCCTTTTATAATTCTCATGAGATCCTTAAAAATGCAGTCTTGAAATATAGCATTAATAAACATTATACGATTTTATCCTTCCAAATTTGTTCTTTCGTTCTAATAGAATAATTTAGAGAGATTGACTGATAAATATTTATCTGCAGGTGAGATGACATATGTAAATCTTCAATTGAATCCTGAACGTTATACAGGCTATGTTGGTCCATCTGCCAGAAGGATATGGGATGCTGTATATTCAGAAAATTGTCCAAAATGTGAGTCTATTAGTTAAATGAGTATTCTGAAATTCAGCTTCAGACTATGCTATATGTCACAATTATAATTTAATAAAAAGGATGGTATATTGCTCTCTTGGCGGTTATTTGTAGAGCCAACACAATTCTTTGTTCAACAAGGTTGTCAAAATGCTTAGATGAGGCTTAGTTGTGGTCCTGTCAGTTGAGAAGATCATACTACTTTAAATCAATACCGGCCATGATTAGCAGCCCTAAAAAATTATTTTATCTTGTTTGTAGCCATCTCTTTGTTGATGTTCTCTCCCTTGGAGTGATGAATATGATTATATCTCATCTTCAGTTAATGTGGTATATATATTGAGTTATGCTAGGGAGTCCAAAAATCCTACCAAACCTCTCACATGTATGTGGGATCCACACACATGTGGATTTGTGTGAGTCCCACCCCATGTGAGAGGTTTGGTAGAATATTTGAGATACCTATCATATATATTTCTCATACGTTGTGCATCTTTAATACATGGCCTTCTGTTGTTGAGTACATTTTTTTGTTTGATGCAGATTCTTCTGGAGAGATTTGCCAGGAGAAAAAAGTCTTGTACAAGTTAATATCTGGTCTTCACTCCTCAATTTCAATCCACATTGCTGCTGATTATCTTCTTGATGAATCTACCAACCTGGTTCTCCTTCTGACTCATTCCCTGTTGCACATCATGTTTATTTATCACTGAAATCTTTTATAAGGGTTTCTTACTTATAAAAGTGTATAGGGGTTTTTTCCTTTTTCTTGTTTTTGACCCATCAAGCTTAACTGAAATGATGTGATATATTTTCTAGAGAATCGCACCAAAATTTGTAGAAATGATTGGATCACTAGAAATCTTTTCAGGAACTTATTTCTGTCAAGTTAATGGTATGTTAAGTAGCCTATTTTCTTGGGCATTACCTTGCATTTGTGCAAGATGAAACACTTTGAACCATTTAATCAAAGATGATGAGGAGCTTTGGCCTCCTGATGTAATGATCGTGTGTTGATAAATGGATGGGTACTGAGTCATGTTTGCAGTAATGATGATGGACCAATTGTCACCTCTACACTTAAGTAGAACCTTAAATTGCATATCATTTATTCATAGATTGATGGGAATCTAACAATCTTTTCTGCAATTGCAGTGGGGGCAAAATCTTGAATTGATGTATGATCGTGTTTTGAGATACCCTGATCGTGTTAGAAACTTGTACTTCACTTTCCTCTTTGTTCTTCGAGCTGTGACAAAAGTGAGTATTTACTGTATGTCATCCTTTTTTGAGAAGTTTAATCAAGTCTGTTTCATGATGACATTTTCTTAAGAATATTTATTTTTGTTTTAAAATGTTTCATAGGCAGCAGATTTCTTGGAGCAGGCCGAGTATGACACTGGTAACAATGCAGAGGACCTGAAAGCACAATCCTTGATGCGTCAGTTACTTTACAACCCCAAACTGCAAGCTGCATGTCCACTTCCATTCGATGAAGCTAAATTGTGGCAAGGCCAAAGCGGACCTGAACTGAAGCAACAGATTCAAAAGCAATTCAAAAACATTAGGTTTCTCTCTAATATTTTGCTCTTTGTCGCCTTTGCTTTATATAAAACGCTCAAAGAAATTGAATTCCAGATTATTATGTCCAATACTGTATTTCTGGTTATCACCCTCTTAATATCACATGAAATTAAGTGTTATCTGGCAATAAAGAAATATTCACTTTGCTTGTTTTTGGTTTTCTAAATATACTTTTCAAAAAAATTTACTTTTTTATTTTTCGTGTTTTTTTGTTTTTATTGAATTTTTTTAATATTTTAAGTAATTTTTTTAATTTTTAGACACACCTAACATAAATACACATAAAAAGTATAATTTATGTGAAAAAAATCTTTTAAAAATTCAGTAAATATCAAAAATACAAAAAAAAAAAAAACAAGAATTCAATATATTTTTCGTATTTTTATGTATTTATTAATTTTTTAAAATATTTTTTCACAAATTTTTTACTTTTAAGATACATCTAAATAAGGTGTATATAAAAAAGTAAAAAAAATGTTTAAAATTTTAAAAATATTCACTAAAAATAAAAAAATACGAAAGACAAAAAACTCAATTTTTGAAAAACTTAATCTAAAAAACTCAAACCAAACACACACATTGATATTTGTGTTACTTGACCTGCTATGCATCTTGAAGTGGGGCATGGTTGCAGATTGTGATATAATATATGTGTATGTATAATCTATTCAACTACTCTTATAATTGGTCATGTTGTATATTAATTTGATTATATTTATATTCTCCATTTCGCAGTTCCCTGATGGATTGTGTGGGATGTGAAAAGTGTCGTCTCTGGGGAAAGCTTCAGGTTCTTGGTCTTGGTACTGCATTGAAGATCCTCTTTTCTGTCGATGGTCAAAACCACCCAGATCAAATTGTGAGTTTCTGTATCCAGCAACTCTGATTAAGAACCTGCTTTTATCCCAATATCAGTTGGTATTTTTGTCAGTTCTTCTCTCAAGTGCTTTTTTTTATTTTTATTTTTTGTAAATGGTCTTTACAGCTGCACCTGCAAAGAAATGAAGTAATTGCTTTGGTAAACCTGCTCAATCGACTATCTGAATCTGTCAAACTTGTCCAAGAAATGGGGCCTTCAGCTGAGAATATCATGGGGGGGCTGGTCTCTGAACCAACTGCACAAGAAATTAGTTCATGGCGAAGAATCTGGGCATCGGTGATTGGGCTTCGGTACTTAACTACTCTGCTGTGTGTCTTAAATCATTTTTAACCATATATCTATATTTATGGTCTCCTGTAGCTACGGGATGCAGCTAATCTAAACATCAATTGAAATGATTTTTTCAGGTTGACAAAGCTGTCATTATGGCAGATCTTGTAATGTTTTAACATTTCAGTTTTGAAGGCAGTGTAAAGCATTTAGACAAACTGACCTTTAAGAGTGTCGAGCAGAGCAGACGATTTTGGAGGCATACAAATGCATTACATATATAGAGTCTGAAGCACATGTAATAGGTAAAATTCATTCTTGTTAGATCTGAAGAAGTATACATTAGCTTTTGCCCATACAAAGGGTTTTGTATTGTACATGTGGAAGATTCTTCAAATTATTGTCATTTTTATGTATCATTGTTGAAAATTTTTGTTGACTGGGTTGGAGACTGGAGTCCATTTCTACCATGAGCCATTGAATTGTGATAAACATATCAATAAAACCTTTGAAGTTGGAAAGCTAGCTATTTCAACCCTTGAGTAATGTAATCATTTGTAATATTTCTTCATAATTTCTGTTCAGCCGTTACTGTCTACTAAGAATAGTCATCACCAGAGGTGATGACTATTTTATCTTCTATTTTTTTTTTAACACAAAATTGGAAAACAGGTTAAAAAAATATTGTACTGCAGTTACCACATGAGTCTTTCATATATGGCAATCGTTGTGATTTTGATTAGTTGGGTGGTGAAAAATTAGATTAAATAGTCATGTGTCAATCCGTAAACTTGTGCACAACATTCATAGGCTGAACTTTCAAGGCATTCAGTCTGGGCGTGTGGCCACAATGACATAGAAATCTTCTAAAAATTGTGACAAGACATGTAGGTAGGTCAGAAACTCCATTCTGAAAAGCTGTGAATCAGAGCTGGTCTCAATCGAAACTTGTGTTCAAGGAAACACTGTAAGCTGACTGCAATCACAAGTGCCAAAAGTACTCCTTCATACCAAATCATCAATTAATTTAGTGATATATACAATAATCAAACCAATAGTTAACAGGTACAAGACCTCAAACGGATGATGATTAGCATCATCCTAAAAAATTAATACATTTTTTTTCATCTCTGCTGATCCACTGTTAGTTCAAATTCAGACGACTGTTCTGCCCGCTGTTCCAATATTCCATCCTTTCTCCTTTTCCCTCTGGCTTTGCTTCTGCTGAACATCTTTCGTTGTTGTCCGTCTACCACTGCCCAGCAGTACTCTATGAGCTGCCCTCCCTCGACTTCCAATAGAAACTCTAACTTTTTCCATCCCCACGTTTATACCACCTCTTCTCATGTGTTGTTGCATCGGGGACCTCATTTGAATTCTCTTTTGAAGGCTCCGTCTCAAGACACTGCTCAGCTTCTTTCCTCCACTCTTATATTCTTTAGGACTATCCCAAGGTGTCGGTTCAGGAACTGCTCTTTTGGCTTCAGCCCCATCCGACTCTTCTTCTCTATTGGTTTGGAGGATTGGTTGCAACGGTAGCAACAATGGTTGTGTGAACTTGACTGAGCCTGGTGCACTGGGTAAAGGAATCAGAGAGTTGCGCCGTGGAGCTGGAGCTGCTGGAAATCTTTGTGCTATTGGGCATAGAGAAGCTCTGCCAGTCCGCTTTGGGATTGGCAGTGGTTCTGAAATCTCGGGATTATTTTCTTTCTCCGTGGGATCGTTGTGCTTGACAAAGCTCTCTGTCGGGGGAGGGGGTGATTGAACTTTGTAGCTATTGTTGTTCTCAGTAAGTGGTCTAGTTTGATTTACGTGTTCTTTGCCTTCATTGAAATTTTTGTGAATGCCTAGCGGTCTAGTCGCCAGTGGCGGCCTCGTAAATCCAGAATTCTGATCTTCTTGCTGTTGCCTCATCAATTGTTGTTGTTGTTGCTGTTGCTGTTCTGCTAGTTTTGAGTCAACATGTTGTCGTGCTAGCCTTCTCTCAATCAGGAGTTGCGATTCCAATTCCTTAATCTGCCAAATGAATTGAATTCACACCATGACTAAAACTCGTAGACATTTCAGCCTGCAAATTTCAGAAAAATACAATACCTTGTCCTGCAAGTTCTTGTTTTTCAGGTCTTTTTCTTTCATCTTGACATCCAAACCATGAATGGTGTCCTCCATCTTCTTAATCTGCACATCTTTACTCTTCAACTCTATCTTGGTCTTTTCAACCTAACAATGAGAAACGACAATTCGCTCGTGACTTAAATGACAAACAAACAGAGAAGGTGCTTTCAGGGGGAAAAAAAATGAATTGTATCAGAGGTTAGTGTTACCAATTGTTTGTATTTTATGAGTTCAGTGCTGTCTAATTGCTTCTTTGCAGGACCCAGCTCTATTCCTCTCACTCTGCTTGCAAAGTTGAGTGAGCAAAGAGTCTCACTCAGGTCATTCTCATTGGGACTAATCTGTACAAACATCAGTGTCTTTGAATCTCCTCCTATAAAACACGCACATAATAATACAGTTAATTTCCTAGAAAGTAATGAAATTAGTCAGAAAATCCGTTCCCACTCTCCAACTTCTTAAAATGAAGTACCTAGAGAGTCTTGAAGCAAGTGAGTGAGCTTGGAGTTCCTGAACAATCACGAGGTCGTGAAAAGGGAAAAGTTAGTATAAAACATTAGTAGATTATCAAATTTCAATACAAGGAATGAGAATGTGTCAAGTTCAGTACCTAAAAGGGATGTGTGGGCTCTTAGTTGCAAGAGAAGATATGACATCTCCAAGTGCAGAGAGAGATCTGTTAATATTTTGGGTTTCTTTTAGTCTTTCACCTTGTACTTCAGTCTTGGCTACTCGCTCGCTTCCCGCTAGATCGACCAGCCAAAGCTTGCTTCTTGTGCATTCTCCATCCAGTAAATTCTCCCCCTTCACCATCACACAGTGTATGCTGCAGAAAAAAGTAGCAGACTCCAGCCTTCAGTATGTATGGTTCTTTGTCATGACCGAAGCTGCCTAAGACGCACGGTAGATGGTCTATAAGGGTAGAATTGTATAGATTATATTATTAGAATTTAAGGTGTTTTTATATTAACTTTCTTTTAACGATTAGATACTCAATAAAATACAGTGTATATATTTTTAAAAATGGATCAACTCCACTCCTCCTAGATATTATAGTTCATTATATTTGATCTTTTATCCTCCTAAGGAAATCTTTATGGAAATAAATAGGGGGGGAAATTGGGATCGCCTAGATCTCTAAAATCACCATTTTGGAACGAAATTGCAACCATTTTTTGGAAAGTGTGTTCCAAAACTCGGGTACTAGTGTTTTCTAGTAACATTGGTCATGACTCATGACAATTAGAAAAAAATGCAAGAGTTATACAGGAGGAACGAACCAATGAGATCGGCTACTGTGCTCATTAGCATTAGTTGATCCAACTGCCCTTGCATTGCTACCAGTCTGTAGAACTTCCCAGACCTCACTCATGTTACTCACCTGAGCTTCAACCAGTCCTGGGACATGATGTATTCCTTCACCCACTTGCCTTATTTCAAGCCTGCAAAAGCAACACCACATTGAACTGTTTGAGAGATTGAAGTAGATAGCATTTAGTCCAAGCCACCATTCAATAATAACACGAAAATACACAGAGACGTTCATGCTCCGAGGATTAGCTAGAAGAAGATGAAGAACAACAACAACAACAGCAACCTCTATAAGCAAGCAATTTAGCCTACCTTTTTGCAGTTACTGCTGGGCCTGGCTGAGTTCCTGGTACTAGCAAATCTCGTATCTGCTCATTATAAACCTCAAGAACACTAACCGATATTTCATATTTGATCTGCCCCTTACGCTCATTTATGGTTCGAAACAACTCCTCAAGAGTCCTAAAGTTGACTCCACGGGCTTCATTTGTGCCCTCCATTGTAAATGTTTTCCCCGTGCCTGTTTGCCCATAAGCAAATATACACACATTGTATCCATCTAGGACTGAGCTTGCAAATGGAGCTGTATCCTCAAAAACATCAACTGTACAAGCAAGAATAAGAAGTTGAAAACACATACCATTCCTTTACATTCATTTGTAGAGTTACTAAGTCACTTAGTTACCTTGGTTTGATTGGGGGCCAAAAATGGCATCAAACTTGAAGGTCTTTTTTGGTGCACCATTTGATTTTACTGTTAGCTCACCATCTTTCGCAGCTTCAAAATCAATTGCCATTGAAGCTCCTGAGGCAATCTCTTCAGTGTTCAAAGGCCTACAACGGCAAAAGACCCTAATCTTTCCTGCAAGAGAAAGCCATGATTAACCCTGCTTTAAACAATTCTCAATTCACTGATATGCTTCGATAGCTAGGAAGAGATGAACATGGTACTGACCTTTCAACTCCAGAATCTTGTTGTAAAGTTCTTTCCGTTCCTTGGCCCCTTTGATAAATTTTATTTTAAGATCTTCGTGTAATTCTACTTGCTGATTAACTGTCAACAAAGAATTAAGAGTTACTTGGAGGGAAAAGAAGACTACATGGATATAGAATTAGAAGTCAGGTGCGCATGTAAATTTACCTTTGGACTGAATGATAGAGCTCATGTCATTCATATCAACCAAGCACCTCTTATATGACAATGCCTCCTCTGATAGCTTGATTTGATCCATTTTCAAAAGCTGTAAGATTCCCAAGCAAAGTTAATTCATTATGGTTTGGACCATTTGAATAAAAGTCAAGGTTTGTTTGTTTGTTTTTTTTTTACAGAACTCATGTCTTCTTAAACCAAAATTCTCAAACCCAAGCACTTTTGTACTCATTTCTCAAACTTGCGTTGTTTTGTGAAGTCAAACACGACTTCTATTTGACTTCCTGTAAAACTTTTTGAAACACAACTTCAAGAAACGACTTGTGTTTGGGAAATTAGAACAAGCTGCATTTGAGAAATAAGTTTTGAAATCAAACACGGGTTTGGAAAATGACTCGTCAAAGTAGATCTTATGAATATTAAACATTGTTGTATTATTTCCTAGGTTCCAGTACCTTCATTTTTCTTTTCAGATCTCTCAAGGATGAAAACCATCTGCTCTTCTCTTTCACTTGTCCCTCAATTGCAAAGGCTATTCAAAAAGCCAAATAATAATAAAAAATAAAAAATTCAACACTAATATTTAAAAATTCTAGAAATGGTGACAATCAACAGGGCAGAACTTCCATACCCAACGAACCAACATGCATCGACTTGCGCATGAGCTCATTTTGGAGGTCCTGCAAAGATTTCCATGCTTCTTGGCATTCTCTGCTCTTACATTCATTCTCACTCTTAAGCTTCTCTAGGACCCTCCTTGTTTCAGTTAGTTCCTTTTTCTGGCACTCAAACTCTATTTGAAGCTTTTGAAATTCTCCTCCCGCTTCACACACCCCACTATCCTAAATGCACATCAATAACAAATGAAAAATACAGAAATTCAATCTGTTTACACTAGTTAAACAATTCAATGCTCATGGATAGATTTTAAAAGAAATCTTACTTTTGATGGCACACATTCGGGTAATTGCGACATGGATATCGCTTTGAGCAATTCAACTTCCCCAAAACCTGATAAAAGGATATATATATACATGTCAGAACTTGGAAATCCAGGTCTCAATGTTTACATTTTCTGTAGTGTATTATGATCAAATATGTCATTAGATATAGCATATCAATCACTTTCCCGGATTATTTTCATCTTACTTGCAGACATATCTTTCCTCACAGAAATGCCACATACAATAGGGCTTCCAGTCACTCCTTCAAATCTAATGGATAGACAATCATCACCACTAACAAAAGCTTTCAGATCACCTATAACTAGGGGTTTATTTGCACCAACACGCGCAAAAATGTCCACGCAAGAAACAGCCTACAAAAAAAATCAAACAACAAAGCTTATAGAATTGTGTGAATTGTAATTCATTAGAATCCTAATTTGTTTCCTCACCTTCTGCTCTTGTATGTAAACATCGAACACTCTCATCCCAGGAGGGCCATCGGTGAACACAATCTCTGCAAGGTGCAGATCAACGATGTAATTTCCGCTCTCCATTGTCTTGAGCTGATATGAAAAGTTGCCAAATCTTGCAGTTTGGTAAAGACCAAGTCCTCCATCCCCAATTTTAGTATCAGTCCTTATAGTATCACCACCATTAAAACAACTGTCCTCTAGAAATTTAGTCCTACCCAAAATCGTTGTGCGATCCAATGAGCCTGAATTAATACTTATTACTGGGAGCGATTTGTTCAAAATCTTGTCTTCGATCACTGGCAATGGAAGAAGCACCAAAGAAGCTTCTGGATTCTCATCGGCATTGTCCTCCCTCGATTTCCAAGATGCTGGAAAAATTGCAGCAGCTGGGGTTTCATGACTACCCTCCATTTCAGGCCCATTGATGCCATTTTCTAGAGAAAGTTCAATTGAACCACCTTTCAAGAACTGAGGCGACTCCACATAGCTTCTGCTGGGAATATCAGGCGAACCGGCACAGATAACCAAGTCTGGGGATGTTAGAGAAAAACCCAACATGGACTGACCTAAAAATTAAAAATTAAAATTAGGGTAATGATCAAATCAATCTAGATAAACTTTAGGGTCACTGAATTTTTCAGGATTATTGGCTTCTAAGCTTCAATTTTTCCAAGAAACATCTATACACCAACAAAAAGAATCACACTTTATTGCAAAAACAATGATAATTTCTATAATTGAGAAGGCTTTCACCTTAATATGAATCAAAACAGTAAATTTATGGGTACAAAGGTTTCAAGACTGTACCATCATTTGTATTAGCATGAACAATATCGTCGGGATCTGCCATTGTCGACGTTTGAGAAATCGGCGATGTAATTGAAGGGTCTGCAAAGTAAAATTGGGATCAATTGAACAGAAAAAACTAGATAAGATTGAGGAGAATTTGGGGAGTGAAACAAGTGAGAGAGAGAGTTAGTGATGATTTTACAGTGAGAGTGAGAAGTTTGTTCTAGTTGCCAAGAAACGTCGGTGATAAGAAGTGGGTCATGCCATTGATTATCTTCCATAGATAAAGAAATAGCGAAACTGTTTGAATCAAAAGTGTGGTAATCAATCAAATACTCCAAAAAGAGAAAAAAGGTATCAAAGCTTTTGAATCTGAGAGAGAGAGAGAGAGAGAGAGAGGAAATTCTACTTTGAGATGGCGTTAATTTCGTATGGGGGCAAAACATTCACTTTGCCGTTGCATTTAAAAAATGACCGTTGGTTTTTTGAATTTCGAAATTTCTTCACCGGGCAACATAAAGTCAATGGGTCTGTCGGACGATAAGGATACTGCCACGTGGCGAATTATTACACGTGGCAGTCTTTTATAAGGCATAATCGTTAAAAATTGCTTTGCTAATGACCTAATGGGTTTTTTACTGGGTTTTCTGTAAAAACAGTAGTGTTAGGGATCTTAATAACCTACTAATAGTTTAATAAAATTATTAATTCGATATTTAGTTAAATAATTGAAGTATAGATTAATAATTTATCGGAATATGATATCTCATATATGATGGACTGTTCAATCTCATTGAGAGGGTGGGATATAAATTGGAAAATTAGTCCAAAGTCTGGACTATTAATCCCTCGTTATAATCCTAACTCAATCCAAACATAAGATTAGATACACAATCTAAAGGGATTCGTAGTCCTAATCAGCTTGTTTGGTTTTGTTTTTCTGAAAACAGTTTTCAGAAAATTCTACTTTCTTATTTTCAGTATTTTTTTGTTTTTACTGAATTTTTTTAATATTTTAAGCAATTTTTTTTTAATTTTTAGATATACCTAACATAAATATACCTAAAAAGTAAAAAAATTGTGAAAAAAACCTTTTAAAAATTCACTAAATACCAAAAGTATAAAAAAAAAAAAAAGAGGAAATTCTACTTTGAGATGGCGTTAATTTCGTATGGGGGCAAAACATTCACTTTGCCGTTGCATTTAAAAAATGACCGTTGGTTTTTTGAATTTCGAAATTTCTTCACCGGGCAACATAAAGTCAATGGGTCTGTCGGACGATAAGGATACTGCCACGTGGCGAATTATTACACGTGGCAGTCTTTTATAAGGCATAATCGTTAAAAATTGCTTTGCTAATGGCCTAATGGGTTTTTTACTGGGTTTTCTGTAAAAAGAGTAGTGTTAGGGATCTTAATAATCTTAGGATTAGCCTAATAGTTTAATAAAATTATTAATTCGATATTTAGCTAAATAATTGAAGTACGGATTAATAATTTATTAGGATATAATATCTCACATATGATGGACTATTCAATTCCATTGAGAGGGTGAGATATAAATTGGAAGACTAAGCCAAAGTCTGGACTATTAATCCCTCATTATAACCCTAACTCAATCCAAACATAAGATTAGATACACAATTCAAAGGGATTCGTAATCCTAATCAACTTGTTTGGTTTTGTTTTTCTGAAAATAGTTTTCAGAAAATTCTACTTTCTTATTTTTCGTATTTTTTTGTTTTTACTGAATTTTTTTAATATTTTAAGCATTTTTTTTTTTAATTTTTAGATATACCTAACATAAATATACCTAAAAAGTAAAAAATTGTGAAAAAAAACTTTTTAAAAATTCACTAAATACCAAAAGTACTAAAAAAAGGAGAATTCAGTACATTTTTTTATATTTTTATGTATTTATTAATTTTTTAAAATATTTTTTCATAAATTTTTTACTTTTTAGATACATCTAAATAAGGTGCATCTAAAAAAGTAAAAAAAAATGCTTAAAATTTTAAAAATATTCACTAAAACAAAAAAACACAAAAAACAAAAAATTCAAAAAACTTAATCTAAAAAACTCAAACCAAACACACTGAAAACTATTATTTATGGGAATGTTAATCTAACCTAATCTAATCCGCCTAAATAAACATGGCCTAAATTTTTTACTAAACCTCTCACATGGGTGTGAGACCTATATACATGTGGATTTGTGTGGGTCTCACGCCTATTTGAGAGATTTAGGCCTCGTTTGGCAAGAGGCTATTTTAGCCAAAAAGCCAAAAAGTTACTAAAAAAGTCAAAAAGCCAACAACTCATACCAAAAAGTCAAAGATTCCCTTTTCTCTCTACTTTTTGCACATCTTTTCGTAAAAAGTCAAAAAGTCATCCCAAACATACTAATTTTTTTTACATCACATTTTAGCCAAATAGTCAAAAAGTTACTAAATTAGCCTGTTCCGAAACGAGTCCTGTAAAATATTTGATAGATTGTTTGGAATTCATAGTATTTTCTGGACAAAAATGGACCTAATGTGTTTGATCAAGTTGGGCTAACAAAATCATGAGTGGGCTTGGAAAATTGTATATATTTAACGTTTTTCTCATATTTCTATACATATATTTAACAAAATCTTGAGTGGGTTTGGAAAATGGACCTAGTGGGTTTGATCAAGTTGTTATTTAAAATCATGGGTGGGCTTGGAAAATGGACCGAATGGGTTTGATCAAGTTGGATTTAAAATCATGGGTGGGCTTGGAAAATGGATCTAATGATCAAGTTGGATTTTTTTTTTTTTTAGATTCATATGAAATAATATCAAGTTGGATTTTTAGAAAATTGTATAGACATATGAGAAAAATGTTAAATTTATGTATATATAAATACGATGGTGCTATATGCGTCAATTGATATGTCAAATTAGTGTACCAATATATATTATGGCATTATTACTGACTTCACTTATTATACAAATTATGAATACACAATATCTTTAAAATTATGCTACATTATCTGTGAATACACTAAGACCTCGTTTGGGAACAGGTTAATTTAGTAACTTTTTGGCTATTTGGCTAAAATATAAGCTAAAAAAAACTAATATATTTGGAATGACTTTTTAACTTTTTATGAAAAGATGTACAAAACGTAGAGAGAAAAGATAATCTTTGGATATGTTTGGTTTGAGTTTTAGAGATGAGTTTTAGAAAAAAAATTTCAAAAAATTGTTTGGTTTGAGATTTTTCTCAAAAAATTTTCAAAATCACTTTCTCTCTCTTACACATCAATCAATCACTTTTTCTCTCTCCTCTTTCATTCTCAATCACTTTTTCTCTTACACACATCTACTCAATTACAACAAAATATCAAATCATTTCAAACTCCCAAACTCTAAAATTACTTTCAAAATATACAACCAAACAACCCAAAAAATTTTCTAAACTCTCTCCCCAAATTTTTTTTTAAAAACAACTCTCTCAAAAACAAACCAAACAAGCCCTTTGACTTTTTGGTATAGGTTGTTAGTTTTTTGACTTTTTAACTTTTTTAATAATTTTTGATTTTTTGGCTAAACCGGCCTGTTGCCAAACGAGGCCTAATTGATATACCAATTTGTGCATATAACAGTATTCATATAAATATAAAGTGTTTATAAATTTGAAAAATTAAAAGTAACATCATTGTGTTTGGTTTCAGTTTTCTGAAAATTGAATTCTTTGTTTTTCGTATTTTTTGATTTTTAGTGAATATTTTTAAAATTTTAAGTAATTTTTTTTTACCTTTTTTAGATATACTTTACTTAGATGTAGCTAAATAATAAAATATTTGTGAAAAATATTTTAAAAAATTAATAAATATATGAACATATAAAAAATATACTAAATTTTCGTATTTTTGGTATTTTTTGGTACTTAGTGTATTTTTTAAAGATTTTTTTTCACAAATATTATACTTTTTAAGTGTATTTATGTTAGGTGTATCTAATTTTTTTAAAAAAAATTGCTTAAAATATTAAAAAAAATCATTGAAATTAAAATATGAAAAATAAAAAAGTAAAATTTTCTAAAAATTTTTCTCTGAAAACCAGAACCAAACAAGCTAATTGGGATTCATTTTCTCACTTTAATGACATCGAACTATTTTTAGGCTTTCGTTTGGAAATAGGCTAATTTAGTAACTTTTTGGCTATTTGGCTAAAATATGAGTTAAAAAAAGCTAGTATGCTTGGGATGACTTTTTGATTTTTTACGAAAAGATGTGCAAAAAGTAGAGAGAAAAGAGAATCTTTGACTTTTGGTATGGATTGTTGACTTTTTGATTTTTTTAGTAACTTTTTGACTTTTTAACTAAAAAAACACTTGCCAAACGAGGCCTTAGTTGGAGAAGTAGGTTAAAAGTTAGTTTTTTTGAATTTTTTAAATTTCTTTTTGAAAAAAAATACCAATTAAGGGTTTACTTTGGTCACATCAAAAAAAAAATTACAACATTGATCATTCCTTTCTATCTATTTATTTATTTTAAGGTAGCGCAGTAGGTTAGTATAGTTAGATTATAATTGAAGGGCCGCTGTTGCTTCATCAATTCAAACTTTTGACCTCCCACTCGCTACGCCCTAAGAAGTAACTATTAGACTATTGGGCTACACTCCAATATTGTCTTTCTATTCTTTTTGCCGAACGAAGGTTGGGACTTCCATACGCCAGCACCGCAAATTGAATCCATATTTGTGTAACTAAATGGCACTCCCTAGCACTACAGATTGAATTCCAATTAGTCATGAATTTGATTTCCATAAATTAAAGAAACAAAAAATTCCAATCAACATCTTTCCAAATTTTCGTGGAATTTGAATTCCACAGACGTTCCAATCCTTCCCAATCAAACAAACAGAGGCAAATTAATCCAATCTGAGCATACTCCCTATCATCACGTGAAATTTCACGAAAAACTTCTTTAGACTAAATTTTTACAACCCTTAGATCAAACCAAAAGAATCTCAGAAAACAAAATTATAAACAAATCTAGAAAAAACTTGGACACAAGGAAGAATCTCATTGGGCATGCATAAATATGAGTACATGTGCTGTAGAAAATTTAATGTATAAAGAGAAATAGAGAATTGTATTATTGATAGATGCTTTGATGTATTACAAGATTGATGGATATTGTGTTATGTATTACAACTCCTATATATAGAAGAGAAGGTGGTAGTAGGTGTAGTGTAGTGGAGGTGGTAGGTGAAGTGGGTGCTAGTGGAGATGGTAGGTGGAGGAGCAAATTGGTAAATTCTAACATGTGCAATGCCAAAAACTAATTCAATTATTTGTTTTTGTTTTTGTTTTTGTTTTTTTTTTTTGTGGTGTTTTTTTGTAAATGGTTTTTCCTTATCAATTCGATAATGCTTGTTACTAGCAAATATGATGATATTACAAATAATTGTCATGTTTACAAATACTATGGCGGCCGATTTTTGAGACATTGGTGATGGAAGAAAGACATGAGCATGAAAAAAAGCACATGCTGGTATTATGCTTTTTTCTCCAAAAGAAATTTCAGACAAGACTATTATTTCGACACATGATTTTTTGACCAACGAGTATGATTTTGATTTTGTTTTTGTTTTTGTTTTTATTTTTTGTGATTGATCAAACACGCACGAAGGGTGAGCAGCCTCTTCCATCACATTTTCTTCAACTTTCTTCGAATGAGGGAAGAAAATGACATTACTGCTGGCACTGGTTAATTTCTCCATTTATTCAAAGATATATAATTAAGAGTTTCTGAGCAAGACAATGCACATTTTTTCATGGACAATTACATAATGAAAAAAAAGATTAATAATAAGAATAATAATAATAAGTAAAATGAAGTGTGGGATAAAGGTGAAGAAAAAATTTCGGAAGGTTAAAGTAATAAAAAATAAAAACAAAAAAGAAAAAGGGGAGATTCAAAGTTGTTGGGGCGGGTCCTACCACTAAGGGAAAAAGAAGATGATGGGTGTGCAAAACAGTGTGTGGTTCGTGTCCGTGTCAAAAGGAGGAGTAAAATAATAAAAAAAATATGAGTGGGGAACAAGAGTGCGTGGAAAGAAGGAAAAAGAAAAAGTAGTCCTTGTCAAAAAGAGGAGTAAAATAATAAAAAAAAATATGAGTGGGGAACAAGAGTGCCTGGAAAGAAGGAGAAAAAGTATGGGTTGGAGTAGCATCATTTAGTGGAGGGTAACTCCAGCTTTCTGACATATCCTCAAGACCAGTAAATGGACGAACCAAACCTCTTTTGAATCTGAACAACAAACACGTTGTCAGACGCTAATCTCTTTATGTCACTTGCAACTGATACTGTGTCTCGGCCAGATGCAACCACCAGTAAAGGGCCATCCTTCTCAAATGTCTCACGAGCCATGGCAACAATCTTCTTTACATCTGCTTCTAAAATGGAGGCTAAGCCTCTACTGCCACCATTTTCTGTATGCAAAGATACAAGTTTCTTCCCTCTACCGACTAACAGAATTTGCGTGTAACCATAAATCTGCCTGAGATGCAATCTAACTTTTTGTGGAGAGAAACTGGGAGCCAGTGAAGCCATTCATTGACTCCTCCTCTTGGTCTTGTAATCCGATATAAAGTTTGCTTCTCGGAAAGACCGAGGGCGCGAACCAGTCCGATGCTTTGGTTCTCGGAGGCCGGAAAACCATTTCCGATGACGAGGGCTCGCCGGATAACGCCGTAAACGCCGCCTTCGAAGATGTCCGGCACGCCCATGGGGGCGCTGCTGGGAGGTTCGGGAAGCTTGATTGGCCTCATCTACTACTTCACTGTCAAAGCAAAACCCTTGAACCAAAAAACACAAGTTCCGAATCGAATCGAATCGAATACAATTCGACAGTTCGAAAGGTTTCTGTGAAAGAATGAGCACTGTTGTGTGGCAGCGCGAGAGAGAGTAATGGCTTATGCACATGCACACCAGTTACTGAAAAGCAATCCCAAATCAGCTCCAACATGGGCAATGGACATCCGATCTGGTGGGTTTCCCTGGTGGTGGAAATGGTTGGTATGTATACGGATGTGGTGGTGGTAAGTGGTGCACTGGTGGTAAGTGGTGCACTGGTGGTGAAGCAGAGTGAAGGTATGTGTAGCAAAATTCTAGCAGACTAGGTTGAGGCCCGGCGGGCGGCTAAGGTGAGGTTGCCGCCCGCCGGGGAAGCGAAAATACTAGGTTCTAAACCTGCTCTGATACCATGTAGTCCTGCAGCAAAAACAATCAATCACTTTTGTCATTCATTTGCACTGATTCTACAACAATAAGATACCCAAAGAATGAGAAAAAACATGAACACGCGCTAGACAAAACAATGCTTAAATACTCCTAAGCATAACAACCAACCACTGGAACACAAGTAGAGAGGATAAACAGTTTTTGTCGGGGGTAAAAAGTGCACTTTTAAAACAGCAAGCGTTATTTTTTTGGAGCTTTATGAAGGCATGCTTCAAAACCATGCCAACCATGCCATTGATTTCGGTCACACACACACATGCGCTCCCCCTTTTCTTTTCTTTTCTTTTTTTTCTTCTTATTTTCTAGTTACTCGGGTGGAGGCGGGGACAAAAAAAAAAAAAAAGAACAATATAATGATGACAAAGGATGAGGCATCCAAATCTTTGGGCTACATAAAACCCAAATTGTAGAATTAGAAGGTTCACACATGTAATCAATTGCAGCAGAAAAATGAAAACATTGGATGTTTACAAAGATCATTCCAACCATCTAGTAGTACAACACCAAAAATTTATTTGTGAGTCCAAGAGTACAGCACAAACCTGGTACCCCCCAGAGAATCCTATAAGTTGGCTTTAATTTCACTTCGTCAAACTCCATACAAGCATTCTCAAATGCGTCATTACTGTCAATTCATATTTTCAGAAACATGAAACTGAGGTTTCAAAGTAAGCAGCATTTAGCTCTGAAGTTCATATAATTGTCTCATCTTCAATTCAATTATTAACTACCTGTATTTGAGGGTTTTGAGTTCGCCATGATGTGTTGTGGCTATGGTCAATAAAGGACCAGATTCAGCAAAAGATTCCAGTAGTGACATCCCCAGTGCAGCTCCTTCAAGGGGATTTGTCCCAGCACCTACCTAACTAGTACAGACAGATGACATGCATTATCTATTCATCCGAGCATACTATAAATTTTTTACCACAATTTTTTTTTTTCATTTTTCCAGTAAGGAGGTAGTAAACATGTAATCAAATAATTACGTTGCTCTAAGTCAATTGTTACTCAAGCACATCAAAAGACAGTACTTGTAGCACTTCACCAAACACCATAAAATAATCAGAAAAGACTTTTTGATACATACTTCATCTAATAGCACTAACGATCGACTTGTTGAGTGCTTCAGAATTTCCTGCGAAGCATTATACGTGAAACTGCTCAAAAACGATTTAAAAAAAAAAAAAAAAAATTGTGTTGCGAAGTGTTATATGGAAACTATAGTAATAAACTAAAAATTTACCAGATAAATTTTAAGAAAATAAAGACTATTTTATTCCAAGTGCTGGGCACACAATTGCTATGCTGATTCCAGAAAATCAAGGTAATGTTGATTCTACCATGTCTGTGTCTTACCTTTTTAGGATCTGCCATATCACCATGTCTATGTCATCTTATGTTTGTGTTGCATGTCTATGTCTATGCTATGTTAATGGTGAAAAGCCAATATTTATTATTTGATAGAAATGGTGCACATTTTAAAGGCCAATTTTGCAGCAAATGGGCTGTAGAAATTTAATGTATAAAGAGAAATAGAGAATTGTATTATTGATTGATTTATATTGATATCTATTACAATGATTCATGATTCCTATATATAGAAGAGGGTGAGTGTGTAGTAGGTAAGGAGTAGGTGAAGTGGAGGTGGTAGTGGTGTAGTGGGTTAGGTTTAGTGGAGTAGGTGAGGTGGTAGTGGTGTAGTGGGTTAGGTTTAGTGGAGTAGGTTTAAGTGGGTGAAGTAGGTGGAGAGTAGGTGGATTTTAACAGCCCCCGCAAACTCAAGGGGGATAGGAACAAACCAACTTGAGTTTGGAACAAAACAAGAAAATACATAAAAATAAAAGAGGATAGGAGACACTGTATGGTCGTGTCAGACCATTGGTGAAGACACTGGATGGTGGTGTCATAACGTTGTAGAGGACACTGTATGGGGGTGTCATAACGCTGTAGAGGACACTTTATGGTGGTGTCATAACGGTGTAGAGGACACTGGATGGCGGTGTCAGACCGATGTAGAAGACAGTTTATGGGGTCATGTAGAAAGTAGATAAGTTAGAAGTGGAACATCGATCAGTCTTAGATCCTGCATAGTTAGCATTGGTGAAACAGGAAAGCCCAGATTGAATAACAGCTGTGAAGAACAATCCCAAGTCAGGAGAAGTCTTCAAATACTTCAAAATTTGATGAACCGCGTTAAGGTGCTTTGTACGAGGTGCATGCATGCTTGAATGCCCAATACTAACTGCAAATGTCAAAACTTTTAAAAAATTAAATAAATAGAACATCAATAAAAATTATATAAATTTATTTTAATTTTTAGTTGAGGTTTTTTAATTTTATTTTAATTTGAACTTTTCAATAAATTGAACTTTTTAATTTTATTTTAAATTAAATAAATTTTATAAATTGAACTTTTAATTTTATTTTTAATTAAATAAATTGAATAAATTAAATTTTTAAAAGGTGATTATAATCCATTGGAGTGTTAATTTAATTTAGTTTTTAGTTGAGATTTTTAAATTTTATTTTACTTTACTATGTATAATTAAAAATAATATAAATAAAAAATTGAGGGCAAAAAATGTCATTTTAACCTTTCAATCTGGAGGAGTTATCCCACCTTTTTTATCCGACAAATAAGGGATTGATAGTCCGGTTGGACTATTAGTCCAACTTGTATTTTTTGAACCAAACGTCAAACTATCACATGCAATGGACATGGAGTCCTATCCCCGCACTCTAATCCCTCCAAACAAACAGCCCCTTATTGGTTGTCACCAACGCCATGTGGATAGTAACTTAAGTCCCCAAGGTCGGCCCTGGGCTAAGGCCACTAAGGCCTGTGCCTAGGGTCTCTAAATTTTGGCCCAAAATAAGGCCCCGAATTTATTGGTTTTATATTATATTAAAAGTTCAAAACCTTTTTTTTTTTTTGTTTAAGTGTGACAACCCACACCTCTGATTAGTGTTAAACTGTGATTGAGCATGATAAGTAATTGATTAGGACGAAATCCTAAATTGTTTGTGTGAGTGTGTTGCTTAATTGCATTCTATCTGTTTGTCGTTGAATGATCTGTTCATGTTTTGATTTCGAATTGCAAATTGAAGGCCTTATCAGCGACCGAATCAGAAATTGATTAGTGTTATATGCTAATTAGGATTTATATGATTTTATGGTAGGTTTCATTAAAATTCAATTTGGAATGATTAAATTAAAATAAATGAGGTTAAATTACATTAGTTTGAGTTTATTACATTCTTGCCATTGTAGTGGGCCACTTTGTTAAAAACATTGTTTGGGACTTAATTCTTGCATTTGATACATCATCTCATCCACCTCCAAGACCAAAACCGAGAGAGAGAGGGAGAGTAGGAGAAAAACTTGATTTCATCAAGAGTTGCTTGGAAAATAAGAGGAATTGAAGGAGATTTGCAAAATTGAGCCAACATACTTGGAATTCAAGACCTAAGGTAGGAAACTCACCCTCTTGAACATGAATTTGAGTTGTTTCTTGCATGGTTCATGGAAAGATTGGAGATTAGAGTTAAGTTATAGCCTAAAGAGTTGAATTGAGAAGCAATGTGTACATGCATGTCCATATCATTGAGTTTTGAGATCATTTACATGAGAATTTCCACATGCATGTTCATATTTTGGTTGTAGTTCATGAATTCACTATAATTTTGAGCTCAATCTTGCATTTGATCATGTTTTGGAGCATTGGAATTCATAAGAATTCATGCATGTTATGTTCTTGCATTGTTTTTTCAAGTTTCTTTGAATTGGTGTTCAATTGGCTTACCTTTGGGCTTAATTTTATAAAAATGATCTTCAAAACATGCTGTAGTATGGGTTTTCAAGTGTTTCCCATAAAATTGGCCCAAAATGTTGAGTTTTGATAAGTTTTGTTCTTGATTTGAGCTTTGGAGGCAAATCTAGAAAACCCAGATTTTGGTTTCCTCGCTCGAGCGAAGGATTCCACGCTCGAGCAAGCACCTTTGTTTTCTAAATTCCGCTCGAGCAACGGAATGCTGGCTCGAGCGTAGATTGCAAGCTCTCAGGTTTTTGTGGACGCAGAAGCACGCTCGAGCGACGAGACCTGCGCTCGAGCGAAGAACTGTGTCTCACGCTCGAGCGAGCATCGAGCGGAGAATTTCAACAACCAGTACTTTTTGCATTTTTACAGACCGCTTGAGCGAGGGAGTCTACGCTCGAGCGACCCCTCTGTTTTGGTAAGCTCGCTTGAGCGAATAAAGCCACGCTCGAGCGAGATCCCTGTTTTCAACAAATTCTGAAAAGTATTTTAAAGTACATCTTTGCATTCTCATTCCATCCTAGGCATTCCTAGGCCAAGTTTAAGGCATCTTAACGAGGATAATGTTATAGAACCACATCGAGTCGAGTAAAGGGGCTAAGTTATTAATCTCAAGTGTGTAACTTAGTGTGTGTATGTTCGTTTTGCAACTGTGTATGGTTGGCACCCGAGGACGCTGACTAGCCTGTTTGTAGCCTAGTGCTCTATGAGTAACAATGTTGTAAAGATACGTTCAATTATAATTATTTCTGAACGATTGATCATACTGCTTTTTGAAATGGCATTGTTTACTGAATAAATGTTTGTCCTATTTGTAAACCATACTCGTGGCATCCATAGCAACTTACTGTTACTATACTGTTACTGTACTGTTACTGCTACTGTTACAGAGATCTCTGTCGGTTCCAATGTTGGAACTACTACCGTTTACTGTTATGATGGCCATCAACTGACTGTTTGGTCTATTAAGACCTACTGTACTGTTTTGCTATTGGACGTAACACGTATGACTATTATGATTTCTAAATGACTGATATGGCATGAAATATGAGCCATTGATTGAATAACTGATTTACTGATGCAAATGACTGTTTTAATCAATAAAAGGACATTCATTCTTAACCCCTTTACGCATTTGTTATTCACTGGGCTTTACCTCACTGTTTATATTTATATGTAGGTGTCCAGGCACCGGACCAAAGCTAGGAGCGCCAAGTTAAGCTCTCGTTTTGTCGAGCCAACCATTGCGCCTCACTTCGAGGTTCCGAGTTCGTTCAAGCTAAGGCTGTTTTGGAGTGTTTCAGATTCCCCCTTTTGTCTCCGTTTTGTATTTACTGAATAAGACTTGACTGTACAGTTATGGTGCAGGGATTTGGTCCTTAACCTGGATGTTTGTGTATATGATGTATGTATATATGTTTTGGTTATGAATGTGGCTTGTTCATAACAGTCTTTTTGCATTCAGATTTTCACAGCTCATTGGATATCTTTTTATTACTGTTTGGCTTCCGCCAGCCCCTTACTCTGTATTACTGTCATTACTGTTAAGCAGGCCTTTGGTAATCATGGATTACTGGCCGGTTGTTATGCTAAACCTATAGGGGCGGGTTTGGGTCGTGACATTAAGGCCTAATCTAAAAGGTTGCTCAAAAAAAAACTATTGGGCCAAATTAAAAATAGGGTCGTGCTATGTCCCCCGAAATTCCCCCCCTAATCCCCCAAATTTTCAAACCAAGGCACAAAAAAAAAAAAAAAAAAAAAAAAATTTTAGTTATGGTGTAGGGATTTGGTCCCTAACTTGGAAGTTTGCGTATATGATGTATGTATATATGTTTTGGTTATAAATGTGGCTCGTTCATAACAGTCTTTTTGCATTCAGATTTTCTCAGCTCATTGGACATATTTTTATTACTGTTTGGCTTCTGCCAGCCCCTTACTCTGTATTGCTGTCATTACTGTTAAGCAAGCCTTTGGTAATCACGAATTACTGGCCGGTTGCAATGCTAAACCCATAGGGGCGGGTTTGGATCGTGACATTAAGGCCTATTTTAAAAGGTTACTCAAAAAAAAAAATATATTGGGCCAAATTAAAAATATATATATATAATCATTGTTAGGTCCAATTAAAATTTTATATAATTAGTTCAAACAAATATATATAATATAATGAGTACAAATAGAGTCTAATGTCAAGATTTTAATAGAATAAATAACTTTATCTCAATTTTTTTGCCATCTCTCTTTATCATATTATAATTTAATAATTTTACCCTAATTTCTTTTCCTTAATTTTGTTTGCCCTAATTTTTTTGCCCTCTATCTTTCTCATAATTTAATTGAATAATTTTGCCTTTGTTTTTTTTTCCCATTTTTTTACTAATAATTTGTGTTTTGTTATCAAATAATTAG